AAAAAAAAAAAAAAAAAAGGACTTCAACACACTGGGCTGGCAAACGTATTACTACAGCCAAATAGGAATAAGCTCTTTGATTTCAGCAGACCTAAAACTGAAGATTCAAGCTTTTCTTCTCAAACATTGTTCATTTTTTGCTCCTTCATGTTGTGCGATTATTTCAGTGGTTGCCTTTTTTTTTTGGAAGATTGATTTCTTGTTTTTTTTTTTGTAACATCTTGTTGGGTGTTAGTCACAGTCTCCTACTTGGAGAGAAGCTATGTGTGGTATCCTCCTGTAGCAGCAATTGAATAAGAAGGGGTTGATATTTAGGAAGTGCCATCCATGCATAGGATGATTGGATAACTACCTTAACTAAAAATCCCTCATCTTCAGAGTTGACACACTGTATGTTCCTTTATTTATATTTTAGAGGAACATTTACACTAAGTAGTTTCATATTTTTGAGACATCTCAGTGAGAATGGTTGGTGTTATTAGACGGGGATTGTCATATTAATCCTTACAGAGGTTATCCAACTGAAAAATGTATTCATTTTGTAATGCTTCATTTTATGCTCTGAAAATGCGGAGGGAGTTGCTCGCGTAGTTTTGTCTCAATTACTTGTCACTGGGTTTTTATCGCAGTGCCTGTGATGCTGTAAAACAAACAGCCGCACTCCTCCATTTACTATCACTACAAAAATTTAAAATCACACGTTTCGTGAGATTGTGTAAAAAGTTGGAGATTTTTATTTTTAAATGTCGGAATGAAGAAATGTAATGAGCTGTTTGTAAACAAATGTGCAATGAATTTCATTAATTAGTTGAAATTTGAGTTCATAGGAAGACCTGGTGAACGTGACGACGTTTCTTAAGTAATGTGCAGGGACTTGAAGCTTCACTACTAGAACAAAAAAAACAAAACACTGCTGCTTTATCAACTTCAGTGTCATGAACAGAGTTGTCTGCCTTTTTTTTTTTTTTTTTTGTACTTTGTGTCAAACTTAATTAACCTGTTCAGATGGCATTTTTCTCCTTAAGGACCCCTCGTCCAGTTGCAATTTTGATTGCATTTCATTATTGTATCTCATCATTTTCGGGCCATACATCGTCTCTGTGGCTGTACAGCGTCGGTTGGGGATGTTTCTGTGTAAAGCATAATGCAAACAGTCGTGGAGCGGGCCATGCTCCCTCCAAGGTTTCCATGTACAGCTATAAACATGTTCTTTGAAACTGTAAGTTATACAGTTGCTGTATGGTTCTTTCTTTTGAATGACTCAAACACCTAATGGTTTTGTCACTTCACCTGTAGTAGATTAAGTCCATCTTCCCCACCCCATACAGAAGGCACTGTACAGTATCTTAGACAATGTTAACCTCTGTTTAAAAACCAGCATCCTGTGCTTCAGTTAAACTTGAACATTTATTTAAGGAAATCTTGTTTTATTTGACTACAGTATACATTTGCTTAATCTTGCACATTTGAGAAATGTAACTTAATGTTGAACTGTACTGATGTATGTAAATGTTAATTTTTTCTGTCTGTAAATGGGAAATTATGTAACTGAGTTATAGGTATGAGGTTTCATTTTGTAACTTAAAGCTGAGTTGATCAGAGGAACATATCACAGTCGTCGACTAAAAGCAGTTAAATTAAGACACTAAAGCAGATGTGAAATCATTCTGTCCTTTAAACTTGTAGATTTTAAAAAAATATTTTTACTTCATATTTATCATGCTTAGTGTAATTGAATGAAATGTTTATAATTACACTGTTTAATATGAAAATAAATGCAAATGAACTTCTATTTTCAGTGTGATTGCTGCGCAGTCTGGGTGCCCCGCCAATTGTCCCGCCAGGCGAGGAATGACCCCTGGCTACAAGAACTGGCTCTCAGGGTGTGGAATGTAATCGCTGTGTTGGGAAGGAGCCAGCACTAATGTGGGTGCTATTTAATATAGTTTGGCTCTACAACAGTTTTGAAATGTAACCCCTGGGTAGGAGTGGGCCAGGGTGACGAGCACTGGGCAGGTGGAAGGGGTAACTCGTGAGGCTTCAGGTGAGCGAGCTCTGCTGTGGTGGAGTATCGGTGCAACTGGAGAGACAGCTTGTGCCTATGCGCCTAACTGCCAGTGTGCCCAACTGGTAGAGTGCGTGCCCCATGTACTCAGCCCGGGTCCTTGCTGCCTTTCACTCAATGCATCCTGGGATAGGCTCCAGCCCTCCAGGATGGATAGAAAAACATAACACAGGAGCAACAATTCTTCAGAATACAGTCAGGCCCCTACAGACCAACAATGTTCCCCCCCCTCACTGCGTGCCAAGTCTTGTTTCGTGCACACACACCCAGTACGCAGTGCCAGGAGGTCATCAGATTTGAGCTGTTTGATTTGCACGGGCACAAACCTTATTTATCTTGTAGCACGTGTCAATAAAACAGGCATTTTAATTCCAAAACAAATGGAAATCCTACAGCAGCACATGGCTGTTTAATAGGCTTAGAGCTTTAAACTGAATCCCAGAGCCTTCCTCAGTGAATGGAACTTCCTCGGGTTTAACATTTACCACAGATGTGTCCCAAAGGTCAAGAATAGGCATTTTGTTGTGGTTGAGTGGTTAAGACGCCTACTATGTAACCATGAATATCAAAGCTTACTGTGAATACTGTTTCACAGTGAAACCCTTGCAGTTATTAAAAGAAAAACTAGTCAGGTGATCGACCCACAAACGGCAATTAACTTGTTTTCCAGACGGACTGAAATGACGTCAGTACATAAAGTGTTATTTTTAGACTTTTATTTCACATTTCAATGCCCTTGTAAGATGAATGCCAAGTCATGGCGACAGTCAGACCTGCCGCACAGTTTCAACAGTCACGGTCATATCACGGTCATAGCAGTTAATGTGGATGGATATAATACTAACAGGAAGAACTTTCCTTATTGCAGGCTGATAGAGAGGTATCATCTGGTAATGTGGATCTGATTTTCCATATTTTGCTCTGCGGTCACCTTGTAATTTAAAGAGCATTATAGTTTCCTGAAGTTTGGAGATCTCAAATTTTGCAAGTCCTTTAGAAAAAGCCTCCAATTTTAGGCAGGCTCGTTGTAGCAATATGGGCGAAAAACACTCCATCGCAAACATAATAGCCCAAAACATATGGAGGAACAACAAATCCAACAAATGCATAATAAATAAATAAATAAAATCACATGCAAATGTATGACGAGCAGAAACAAACAAAAACAAACAAAACAAGATTCTAGAAACCAAGACAATGTAGGCTACAGTTGGGAGTCAGTTTGGTACCCAAGCCTTAGCCCTTTATCAAAGTTCCACCCTCTTAGGTTTTCACAGGATATTGTGTAGAAGAATAAAAGCTATTGCTAGATCCCAAAACACCCAGTAGCCAAAGCCGAGTAAGAGCAAACACATGCACTCACTTTTTAAAATTCGATCCCACAAGACATCATGATCCTTCCTACTTAAATGCTCGTGTGCTCCTTTTTCCTCTTTTGTCGTCACTGCATACTGACATGATCTCTGCCCAGGGGGAAAAGACCCCCGGGGGAGTAACATTCATCCATCGATCGGGTGTCAAATCCAACCAAAATATACAGTATAAACTTAGTGGTATGATTGTGCATTCCCTTTACATGAAGGGATGAGGGCCTGTGGGAACGGTCTCAGGGAACAAATGTGGATCCAGGCACAAACAGGGCTGGGATGGAAGAGGAGGAGGAGGAGGAGGAGGAGGAGGCGATGGCAGGGTGCTACACACCCACTGCGTTCCCGTTCACTTGTTCACTCGGAGGCCGCGGAGGGAGTGGGCTGCGTGGGGATCCAACGGGAGGAGGATGGGGGGCGCGAGGAGCCTCTGCGGAGTTTCCCCTCACGCTGATGTGCTCCCATCCTCCCTGAAAGTCAAACACACACACGACTGTCAGTCCTTGAAAATACTTCTACTGTTTTCTACATTTTCTGCACGTGACTTAACTTGTGCACTAGAGGGCACTATAACACGGCCACAATATACTGGAAATTTAGATAAACTGTTGCCTAGAAACTATTAAAAACACATAAATGAGCCACAGTGTTGCCCTGGGTGACGTGCTCCTACATTATAATGAACATTTTTTGTTTTATTTTGAGCCACTCCCACACACACCCGGTCCTGCTGCTGTAAACACTCAGTAAAGCAACAAACGTGTTAGATGGCTAAAAACTACAGTGCCCAGATATTTTAGGACATTCCTGAGCTTTTTAAAAAAAAAAAAACATATATATTTATAAAGATTTACATCTGCAGTAGGAGCCAGTAGGCTTGGGGACCACAGACAGAGCAGGTAGTGTTCAGTGACAGACTAACACATGGTTGGTTTTGGTCTTATCGTGGTATTTGTTGCCAATAAGAAAAATATATCTTTCAAGCCAACATTAAAAGCAAATATTATTTCCAAATGCAGACATAAACAATGCCGCTGTGTCCCTATGATGATCATTTACAATATGAATATAAGGTAAACAAAAGCATGTTTACTTTTTGATTGAAATGTGAATTAAAAGGGGTATACATCATAGACTCACCCCTATGCCATAGTCCCAGGACTGGCCCTTGGGTTGCATGGGTCCCACCCCCACTCTGTGGCAGACTGCTCCCGGAGTCTCAGCAGGGAAACCTGGAACTCCATCTGCTACGATCCACACCTGGAGAGAACAACAGTACTGAGCCATTCGTGGTCTACTGTCAGATAAGTCGGATCCCACAATAATATCTGCTCAACTTGATCTCCCGACCTGATTTCCTGTCTACTCGGCAGAATGGAGGCTTTAGTAACACTGACCTGGTCCAGCGGTCCCACAGAAACTTTGGTGACATTGTTAGAGATGAGCTCCCAGGCGGAGCCCTGAGGGTAGCTGG